ATTATATAAGACTTCAGTTTTAACCACTTTGCTGCTAGTCTTTTCTCCTCTTTCAATCTTGGAAATTGTGCGTAACTTTGGGAATGCATACCGGTGTACATTCTTGACATTGTGTAGATTAAAAAAGAAAAAAGCTATATAAATCCGATTCTCTTCAGTGTATTGTTTTAAAACGGTTACTTTTCACAGCAGTTGAGTGGTTACGTTTCAGTTTTCTGATGCTTTGGTGCACTGATGATACTATATGTACTTTTTTTTGTTTTTTTTTTTTGTTCCATCTTACAGCGCTTGATGTAACATTTATGTGATTAGTTCTAAATAGTGGAAGACATTTGTGTTTTGAAACTTGCAGTATAAATGGTACTACTCTTAACTATTCTATAAACGCTGCCTGTTTTCTTTCAGTTTCTCTCGGTGCATATTTCTTTCCTGTGCATCATTCTTTTTTTTCCTTACTGCCATTGGCTTTCACATCCTGACAACCTCAGAAAAGTGCCTCGCGTCCATCCTAGTTTCCATCTTACAATTTAACATCTCGTTCTGGTACTATTGGTTTCTAAACGTCTAGGTATTTCTTATCATGGTTTGAGAATACCAAGTATATGATGTAAAATTTATAGTCCCAATAACTTGTCATAGTTGTATTTTCTTTATACAGATGTAGCTCGTTAATTTTCATAAATATATAATGTAAATAGGCATACATATGTTTGTAACTGTTTTTATGTTACATCATACACTTGTAATTTGACATATCAAATAACATTATCATAATAAAATGGTGAGTTTTAATCTTTTGTGTAGGCTTCAATGTGTTTTATATCTACAAACATGCCTATGGCGTGTACAGTGGAGGCTGGAAGTTGCAGCTCAAACAAATGAAGTTGCCATCTGACAGATCAGACAAACCTAGCGTCCACTCTGGTGTGATTTGAATAACCTTGTTCCTTTGTTGTAAATACTTAGTTTAACTATGAGGACCCCAAAAATATCAAAAACAGAGCTGAAACAATTTGGTAGATGAACAGAATATAAATCTGTAATGTCTAGGATTATTAGTCCGATTACCGAGGCTTAGTGGGAAAGTCCCATCACCAGATGCAAACAAAGCCCTCATGACAATCCCTGCTACCACCATGACTCAGACCAGTGAACTAGTATATGCTACAGCTACTGTAATCCTTTGCAGTCAAATGGGGGTTTTGATTTGTCTTTCTGACCAGCATACGAGCAGTTCTGTTCGAGAGTTTTCTTGGTCTTCCAGATCTCATCTTGACCTCCACAGTTCCCCTGATCTGCCATCTCTTAATTACATTTCTTACTGTGGAAACTGCAAGCTGACAACGCTTTGCTATCTTCTTGTAGCCTTCTCCTGCATTGTGGGCGTCAATAACTTTCATTTTCAGGGTCTTACACAGCTGCTTAGAGGAACCCATGGTTGCTGGGTGTCCACAAGTGTGTGCACAAGGTTTGAAGAGTCAAAGTATTTGTACAGCTTTGAAATTGGCATTTACCAATGACAGCTGTTGCTGTGCATCAGATCTAACGAGCTGATTAAGGTCTGAAACCTTGTGAGAGACTTTGAGACTCTGGAACTCTTAGGGTGCCCAAACTTTTGCACCATGCCATAATAATGTTTTTATTTTTTATTTTTGTTCAATTTATGGCATAAGAAGTAACTATGCATCACTGTTTGCAGAAAATATTGTGCATTTTTTCCATTTCCAAGAAAAACTGTGTTAACATCTGTTCAAATAAAAAATCACCAAAATCTGTTATTTATCAAGGGGTGCCTAAACTTTTGCATAAGACTGTATATTCCCTCTGGAAAATGAGTCTGGAAGCTAAGATCAAAACCTCTTGGAGATAAGTTATTCAGCTGGTGGAGCTATAGAAAGGTGTGAAGATAAAGAATAAGAAAAGGCTACTGGTAAAATACAAGGGACTGGCACCATCTGAGGCCCTGGACACTGCTAAACAAAGGCTCACAGCACTTGCAGCAGGGCTAAAGACATAGACTAAAGAGACGGTGGCTAAAAAGGTAAATACCCTGTTTAAAGAACCATCCAAGGTGTATTCCCAGCTACAATGCAACAACACAGTACAGTACTGGAAGAGCATATGGGAGGAAGAGAAGACTCATAACAACAGGAACCAGTCACACTCACTGTAGTGGACATCAAACAGCAAGTCAAGAACATGAAGAGCTGGACAGCACCTGGTCCAGACGTGATCCACACCTACTGGCTAAAGCACCTAACAGCAGTGCACAAATGTATGATTATTATTTTAAAAAAAAAACCTACAAACTATTTTACCTGGGAATTAATGTAGTGCAATAAAGTATAGTGCATTCCTTTGTAATATAGTTGAGCATAAGCATAAAATAGCATCAAATGGAAATGAGCTGCTCAAATAAAGCACACGCATGAACCTGACAACTTTATTAAGTACAGCTGGAGTAACTGTCCTTACAGTAGTTGTGTGGATGCTGAGTCAGCATCCACAGCATGTTATATGTAGCAAGAAATGAATATTGCTACATAGGTTTACATACTTATATTTTTTTATGAAGTTCAAGAGATTTATTTGCCATTTACACAAGTACAGGTACATAGGAATATGTTGTGCATATCTGAGTCTGCATACATAAAAGTGTGATGAGTGCAGGAGATAAAAGAAAAGAAAAATGTACACAACTAAGCTATCTACAGCTTTTACTAATATATGTAAAAATCAGATTTTTGTCACTAATATACAAACAATAAAGCATTATTTTTTAATATTTCACTATTATGGGAGTGTTAATACTAATGTGTAATGTGCCAGAGGCAGTTGAATGTTTTTAGCTGGTCTAGATTGAGCTAATTTAAAAATACTTTATATGTTTTGTATGTGGGGGCTTAATTTGCAAAGTGAGTACAATAAATGTAGTGGAAGAAAAACTACATTTACATCTGAAATGTGGTGAAGTAGAAGTGTAAATTAGCATACAATGGAAATAGTCAAGTAAGGTATACGTACCTGAAAATTGCACCTACAGTGCCCTGTCCAGTGAGACACAGACCATAACCTCTGGCCCTCTAGGCAGCAGAAAGGTACTGAGATGGATAAAAGTATCACTGTGTGCTGGAACCAGTTGATTTACTTGGAATATAGTTAGCTCAAGATGACTTAAAAGTGATGTTTATGTCCAGAAGAGAGCAAATAGGTAATGCTCAAACCCCATGTAAACGATTGTATATCTAGATTGTTATATTAGTGGCACAGCTGTATTTTCTACTGGAGTCAGTGGGCAGTGTACACTGGCGTTTGAATGATCCAGACAATAATTCTTTGGGTCCATTTTGTCCTTTGATCCCTGTTAATGAAGTCGGCTCATTGTAGTAATTCTGTACATATGTGATTTACATTTGCATGTTGATGCCGGTCTGTCTGTGGTTCAGTTCCCCCTGCAGCCGTCCATCTGGGTTGCAGTGAAGAGATGCTCGCCATCCGTGTCGTGTGTTCAGGACGACTTCTACAGATGCTGAGCATCATGGACAGGTATGAAATTCAGCTGTTTAAACCAGTACTACTTCTGTGTATTTATTGGAAGATGGAACTGTAGTCCACTGAGTAACAGTGCTATTTTTTCTCATAATCATGGAAATGAATACAGAAAATACACAGCAGTGTGTTTGAATCTAGGCCAGATGTGGAGAAACAGTCGCACAGTATTTCACCTCAGTCAAACTTTACATGATATCTTGTAAATAACTACAGTTTGGATGCAGTTGACCTTTTATAGTTGTAGTATACAAACATTAATTATTACTAAACATTTTTCAGGCACAAGTTGGAGGTGGAATCTTATGGGAACGAGTCCAGCCAGGAAACCTCCTCATGATGGATACCCTGACTGACCAGCAGGTGGTGCAGCTCCACCCTGCAGCACTTCTAAAAGTTCCAAATGTGTGCATACCAGGCCACTGGCTAGCTCAGTGGTTTGGACTTTGGACACTTTCTCGATGTTCCTAACAGCATAGAAGCACAAGAAACATCCTAAACCCTCACTGCTCCAGGTGCTTATCTGTGGGACTGCAAAAACCGTCAGCTCTTACCAACACTTCAGCTTTCCTCCACCTTCAGCCCTTCCTGATATAAACAGTTCTAATCCATTGTGTTTTATTTGTTGTTGCTGTGCATCTCTAACAGATCAGCAGTACCAAGACTGAGTTGTGCTTCTTTCTTTTCAAGCATAACACTCAGAATATACTGCACCCCCCCTAGGGACTACAGTATATCCAGAGATAGAGCGGGTGGAGAGAGAGGTTCACTGACTGTACTGCACTCCAAAGAGACTGGCGAATAATGAAAGTGAACTCAAATTGAACCAAAGTTTATCATACTGTCTGTCTGGCTGCTGGAGAAAGACTTTATATTGTGAAAATGTTTAGTGGTACATTTGCTGTTTATTGAAAGGAAAACTGCTGTAGCTGCTACTTATAGCCATTATGGGTAGCTCATAGCAAGGGCTTGTATCAGTATGGAAGTACCTAAACACTTGGTGTTGGTTTACAGGTGAGAACAGTTCAGATTTAGAGCCTTTTATGGAAACCCAGAGTGTTCAATAATAATAAATAAACAGCACTGAAATTAATAATTATATGAATAAATATGAATACATTGTGTAAAATATATACTTGCACAGACAATTTGTGAAATCATTCAAGAAATATTAAAACTTTACTCATTATTTTGAAATGGTATTTCATCATTCTTACTTAATAGAGTTTTTTAGGGGTTATTTTTACTGTGATTATGGACATTACTATTTCAAAGTGCTGTTTTTCAGAAGTCAGCTTTTCTTTCATAATGCCTCTTTATGTTAAATTACTACGGTAGCCTAGATGGTGGGACATTATGTTCATGCTGCCATCTGTGACTCTGCAATAGACATGCTCTTCTAGACAGTAAGTCTAGAACAATTCAAAGCAGAAACTCTCTGCTTATATACTTAGTAGATGGTCGGATAGGACCATTAACACATTGAAATGATTACCAAATAGATTAATTATGCAAAAAGTATGTATGTTGGTAGGAAAATAATACAGATAGAATGCAGCAAATACAACAGTACAACTCACGTTACCAGTAGGAATTCTGACTACTGACATATCTACCGATCAGGCATAACATTATGGCCACTGGGCTCTATTATTGTTCCACACTCCAGCCCAGCAGGTGGCGGTAATGCACTTTAGGTTGGCTTGCAAACCGCCAATAAACATAATAAGAAGAAGAATTATGACCACTGCCAGGTGAAGTGAATAACACTGATGAGCTCGTTACAGCCACCTGTCAGTGGGTGGGGTATATAAGGCAGCAAGCTAACAGTGTTCAAGGAAGGACAGATGGTGAACTGACGACAGGGCTATGGACGCCCACGGCTCACTGGTGATGACGTTAACCTACTGTAGATCTTTTGAGATTCAATTTTAATGTGCAGCGTTCTGTGTGTATGCAGATTTTTAGTAGTTACTCTGAGGTAATGAGGTAAAGCGGTTGAATAAATGTATAATTTCGCGTTCATGTAGGCTACTTTATTTAGCATTAGCGGGTTAGCAAAACTCTGCTAGCAAGAAGCCTTTCGGCTGAAAACAACAAACCAGGCGTGTGCTCTCTAATTAGCTCCATGTGCTGTTAGCCTTTCGATACGCTGTTTTGCTTTAGTATGTTCCTTTTAACAACGAGGTTAATTGGTAAACCTTGCTTCTAGGAGATTTTTTGCCACGATTTAGCGGTAACTAGTCACCTATCCCCTGTTGGCTCTGTAGTTTGACTGCTAGCGTTATGGGAACTGTGGTGTGGTATAACGAATATATCTGGACTAGATTAACGTTAGCACCCTCGTTTTTAAACACCCAACAAGTTAATGTTTAGAGGACACTGGTCTTTAACAGATTTTTGTTGTAGTGAAGAAACCTTTTTAGGTAAATACGTGAGTCTTGGGTTTTTCTGCCACGTCTCGTAAGATGGAGCCTCAATTTGGATTGAAGTCCAGACAAACCAACTGCCAGTTGTCATTCATGAACGACCCGAAAAGCCTGCTTTGTTTAAATTAAGATCATATTCAAAATATCCACAGGTTTTACTGACGGTGGAAGCAATGCCAGGATTTGACAGAAAAAACTATCAGTAAGTTCATGGTAAAGAATGGTGTCCTGTTAACAATGGAGAGAATTTCATGTCTAAATTAAAGGTCTTTGAGTATCCAGAAATGAAGACTAACTGGAGGGAGACTTTCATAAAGCTGCAAGTAATGGTCTTGTAATGTTTTTGTGAGGGATTCAACACATGAGAAGTTGAATCAGTGCCTATAATGGTTGGATGTGTAGAAAATGACTAAACGGACAGATGTGCTCTTCAAATTAAGACATTTCATTTTCACATTTGTGACTTTCTTATTCTACTCCTGTTCTACATTCAAGGTGACGGTGGCCAGAGGATCCTGTCTGTTGGCTACACAAACAAGATGCTCCAGATGATCACCAGCAATGGGGAAATGCATCCTTTACATTTTCCCTCTTCAAGAACAAATTGACACTACAATCCTTCTCTATTAGGCTGTGGATGGGTAAGTTCACCAGGACAATAGAAACAATGGTGTGATTTCATATAGGTTTGTACAAAATATTCAGATTCACTAGCTTTTGTAGAGCTTTTAATTACCTTTAAATGCTTTCTCACCCATTGTTGGCTTCATGATAAATTTGGAATATAAACCTACAGAGCTGCTAAAATATTCCTGCATCATTTATCAAAGAATTGTATTGACTGTACAAGTACTTGGTAGTACTTTCATTACCCATGTCCACTTGCTCTATTTAGGCAATGTGCACAGATGTATACAATATTATGTAGTTCATTTCCCCAGTTTTTCATGAAAGGTGTAACAAACGGTGCATTTTGACAGTTCATATAGTACACTGTGCACACTATTTGATGTATTCTGGTCTTCAGGTGCACTGTATACAACAACTCCGGAACTTGGAGGCATGCAGCCCAGTGAAGACGATGACAAAACGTTGTGGGCTCACACTACAAACCTCCAGACAATTCAGATGGTAAATTGTTCAGACCATTGTGAAATGTGCAAATTGTTATTGCTGTGGATAGCTTCTCAAAGTGAAATTCAACATTCCTTAAGTTTAGTATTGCTTAAATGTGAAACCTTTTCACAAGAGGCTTTACAACTGCAGAGTTTAAATTACTGTTAAAGATCAAATTTGTATGGCCTGTTTCATAAATTGAGGGTAAACAAAATGGGAATTTTTGGTGAATGTTCCTTATAAGCTTGATGGTGACAAACCCAGAGGGATGACATCAGCAGTCTGGCCACCAGTAATTCAGATGGCTATTTCAACATGTGGTGATGACTTCTTGTATTTCAAGTCCTCCAATTTTGTCTAATGTTGACTTAAAACTTTGCAGTGTCCATTCTGCATATACAGTATGAAAGGATGTTCACTGCCCAGGTACAAATGTGCCCATTAAAAAGCCTTTTTTTTTTTTTTTCTAGAATGAAGCAAACCTATCCCCCCTTAGGCAATCCTTAACCAGATGTCCATTCTGTGGCCAGACCATCAGCGGCATTGAGGACAAACAGGCAAGTTTGTTTATAAATGGACCATTTATTATTGAAATCAAAGCTTTACAAAACTTTTTTGCAGCCACTCCAGCAGTTTTGGCTAAGATGGGAAATCCTACTGGTGGACTCCAGGTTATGAAGTCTCTATTCATTTAACTACGAGAACTCAAGTTGCATGACTGGAGAAGTCTTCACAACTGTGATCCAAGTGCATGCAGAAAATGGGAGGTGCTCTACCTTAATGACCACCAGTAGGGATTTCCCATCTTATGCTAAAACTTCAGCAGCATGTAACAAAGGATGATACTCCATGTGGGAGATGCTTTAAAGGCCCTGTGTTCAACATTCAATCTTATCAGGGCTTTTTTTTTTTTTTTTTGGAAATTTTCTTCAAGTTCAATAAAGCTATTATGACCCAACTGTCTGGTTCTGCTTGTTACATTTAAGATATCAGGTCTCTTGGTTCTTCACTCATATCCCTGTGTAGACCCTCGCTGTCCACACCTGGAAAATGGTCCCTCTGAAATGACATTAGGGAAAAACTCACATGACTGTTTACAGACCAAAGGTGTTGGACACTTCATGTTATAGTGCACACAGATGGTCATTCAATTACACTCATTGAGGTCAGCTGTCCTGCCCATTTGATAAGGGCCAGGACCACCTCTGACCATATAAACTCTCAAAGCAGAGTACCTGGATGGCAGGGTTCTTTGGAGGATCAGAACTCAAGTTTAGTAAAAACTTTGCCATAAAGATGCTTATGCACACCTTACAGCTGCTGTCCTAAAACACCATATATCAAAGTTGCTCAAACACTGAAGTCAGGTAAAAAGCTGAGAAATTAGTCTGACCTGAACTTGTCTCACTTGAGGTCCATATGTAGGAGGGACAAGGGCCGTGGCCTATTGAAAGATACATGGGGGCGTTAGTCCTATAACTACTCTGATCTCAGGAAAAGTCAACAGCTCTTAATGCACATTTTGAGGCTAAACAGGAGTTTTCTCTAATCAATTCACATTTCTTGCTCACCTTACTAGTCACATTAATGTAGTACCAGCAGACTGTTGGAAAAAGCACTGTACATTAAGTGCAACTGAGGCATCTGTACTTATTTTTAGTTTCTGCTTCTTACCATACCCTTTTCACTAAATGTATTTGATAACTTGAGTTTAGCTTCTTTTCAGAATTAGATGAATAAAAAGGAAATACGGTACAAGCCTAATCATGAGACTTCAGTAATCTCTGGTGAGAAATTTACAAGCTACTCAGAAGTTCAAATTTTAAATGTTAAAATTACCCATACTTTTACCAGCTACAACATTAATATGATGAACAATAATATACATCAACATGAAATACATTCTATTATTATTCTGCACAGTGACTACTTTTACTTTTGGTAATTTAGGTATATTTCGCTGCTAATGCCTTTGCACTATTATTTAAGCAACATTTTGAATGTAGCACTCTTACCTGCAACAGGGCATCTCAGTAAAAAGACGCCGAACGGTCTGGACCTCACCGGGTCTTCATCAGGGCAGAAACATACAGGTGCAAACAATTTGAGGTCCAAACTGGCCGGCGTTTTTATCGAGCTGCACGATTAATAGTAAATATAAAAAAACATTTACATTAATGGGGCACATAAAACTAAAGGAGTTCTTTCAGCTACAAGACTACATATCCAACAGGGAATAAGTTACAAGTCAACTCTAAGATTTCTCCTAGAATGAAGCAGGTTTCACAATTAGCCTGATAACTGACTCATGCAAAGCAAAAGAGTACTGGACGGCTAACTTACCCTTGAAAATTCTCTTGCTAGCAGAGGTTTGCTAACGTCCTACGTTAGCATTCGGCTAACGCTAGATAAAGTATCCCACCTGGAATAGAAAATATACATTTTAACAACTGTGTTAATACCGAAGCACCTGGGCGCTAGCTACACACAGAACGCAACACATGAAATGTTTACTGTGACTTTCTACAATTTTCTAATGCGACCCACCTGAGTAGCAAAACAACTGCCGCTGTCCTCAATCTTGAATCTCCAGCAAACTTACAGAACCGCCACCGGATACTCAAATGAAGAGCCCAGCTACCACCTGATTGGTCAATTTGACTCTGCTCTGTGATTAGACTGTCACTGTCCAATCAGATTCGGGTGTGATTCACACTAAACCTCAGTACTTTGTCTGTACACAAATGTTCACAAACACGCTTGTTTTCAGTGTCTTTGTGTAACATAATTTGTTTACAGATTTTATTTACACGCTCAAAAACGTTTTTACATACAAATCTATCCTACACATGCTCACAAAAATTGTGACGATGTACATACATTGCTATTTGTACCATTAAATTGCCATTCATTTGACTAGCAGGCACTAATGGGTCACTTGTTAAGATTGGTGTAATGCTGTGTGCCACCACTAAAGGGCAGCCTTACCGCGTGCTCAGGAGAAGGAGTAGGAAAAAGAAAAGTTACAAGACATGTTTTAGGCTTTTAGGCAAAACTGTGGCTTATTCCTACCATTTTTTTAATAAAACCTAAAACCACTAATATTTAGTATGAACAAAGAGGGGTTTCAAATAAATACTGTACAGAGATAAATGTAAGAATTTACAGTTTTCAGCTGCTTTGGCAAATCTAGCAATGCAGCTTATCACACGTTGTCAAATGTAGTTTCTGTCTAAGGAATCAGAACCGAGCGATGGATGATAGTATGGATGGAAAGAATGATTTGGAAGCCATAAGGACAGAACTTGAAAGCAGTGTTGACCTCATAAAGCAAATGTCACTGAATCATATTTCACTTTATCCTATCCTAAGTTGTCTTAAGTAAGCTACTGTTATTTAGGCAATGTGTTAGCTGATTTATGTAGGCATTGTAAAAATTCTGAATGTTAAAAACTTGTTACTCTAACTTAGAATAAGTTAACAAAAGTAAAAGACGTTTTATCAGATTTATCTTTCCAGCCATTGCTGTATGCTTAGTTCAACCAAAGATTCTTTTCTCTCTCTGTTTTATTTAGGTAGTTTTCAGAGAAATAAAGGTGTCCAGTTACTCACATGAAAAAAATCTAAGGCTAAATGCTAAGTCTGGCAAGCCTTTAGATTTATAACAACTGCTTTAGAGGATGAATAAGGGCATGTTCTGTGTGTACATTTACTGCAGAAGAAGTCTTACTGCCATCATCTTCCCTCCAGCTCCCCTGCATGTCGTACTCCTGTTCCAGGGTCAGTGGCTCTGAGGCGGTCAGATGCTGCAGCTCAGGACGCTTCATCCGTTCATGATGCCTGAAGAGTGTAAACAGGTGGATAAGAGACAGAGACTGCAGGTTTCTACAGCTTTAACTTAATCATGTATCCAGATGCCAGAGGACTGGAGCTAGTTCTGCTGTGCCAGTTAAAGAGACTTCAGACTGTCAAAGGATCAAAAGCTTGTATTGACAGCTGGGTCAGATGTGTCATCTGTCCAGTTATTTCTGCACCACAAAGAGCTTTCAAATGCTCAATAACAAATGAGACTGTATGATATGATCAAAAGTTCTAGAAAAGCTACTAAATGGAACATGTGATGAAATCGTTTTCTCAACATTAGTTAGAAGTCAAAATAAAACCCATCCGCCATGTTTAAACATTGAGAGTAAAGAAATGACATTCAAACAGTCATCACTAAAGATATCAGCAGAGGAAAATAAAAGAAAAACGTGACAGACTTGGCGTGTGTATCAACACTGATCAGGTGTTAATGTTAACTTACCTGGCCACGTGGTTTGCATTGTAAGGAACCAACACAACTTTGTGTCCCTCCAGTAGAGTCTTCTTGTTTATCTTCATTGTGTCAACCAGACAAAAACACCAATAGGACCGATAATAACAATAAACTAAATTCAACCCTTGTACGTCCCAACAATATATTATAAAACAGCTGGATACTGAATCACAAGATGGAGACCATTCTTCCCACGGATGTATTAAGGAGAAAGGGTAGGAGATTGTTCAATGTATGTATTGTGAGGACGTTTTTATCATAACGTTAATACATTCATTTATTGTATTCATTTTCCCCACTGAATGTTGCTCGCCTGACATACACAAATTTGTTTTTCTTCCGGGGTTGCTTCCGCGGTCTGGGGTCCACTGCGCATGCGCACTAGGGGGCAGCGGCCGAACTTTCTCAGGCTCCAGCGTTGAAATATCTGCCGTGCACACACTGTCAAAATAAAAGTCACATGCAGTTATAAACACGCCTTTCATCTAGATACACTTTTATTAGCAGATGGAAATCGCCTCAAGGCGTTTTACAAACGATGAACACATTTATTAGCACTTTTACTCTATTATATCAGACTGTGTATATGTGGATCTGTTCATGTTTGGTTGCGTAAATGGCTCTGCCCAGTCTTTTTATGATTAATTGCAAACATCTGAAGCAAAGTTCGTCTTTTACTTGTACATTTTAAAGTTTGTGTTGCAGCCTGCAGCGGAACAAGTTTCGCGAGTCGCACGTTTCATTCCGGCTCATTTAGATATGCGGAACAGCAACAAGGCATGGCGTTGCAGAAATGAATGGGTGTAAAAATGTGTTTATGCTGATATGTCCTAGTCCGAACGTATTTATGATTCACACAAATACACGCATCTAAGAAATACCTATCAGACTGAGCCATGGACTGTGACATTTTGGACTCGTTAGAGCAGCTCGGGTAAGCTAATTCTCTGTTAGCATGTTGCATTAACCTCTAGCTTGAACGTTCATCGTTATTTTATCAGTGTGCGTGTTTATAAAAAGAAAATGGATGTAATAACTACTTGTAAACTATCTTGTTGAAACAATACTGTTATCTGGAATCTGATTCTCGTACGCTGACGGTCCTCAGCTATGACGGCCCTCTGTTGGAGGAGAAAGCACTGATTACAGCCGCAGAGGGAGGCCTGTCCTCGCAGGACTATGTAGAGCTATGCAGATGGCTGGCATCCAGGTTGAAGTCGCTCTGTGACCTGGAGGAGAACATTACTTCGGGACCAGGTGAGCAACACTCATCCACGCTTGAATCTAAAATTCAGCACCATAAGTTGTGTCTAATTTCTCCCACACATTCAACCTGTTTTCCACTGGACAGCCTCCAGATGGAGATGAGTGGTTTGTTGAAGGAGCTGCACTGTCCTTACCAAGAAGTTGTTTCAGGGATTCTGAAGGGAAATGTTCGAAATACAAAAGATCATCTCAAGTTTGTCTGTATGTAATCACTCTCATTATTCCAATCATTGTGCTACAAACTCTCTCTGTGGTCAAAGTGTTTGTCATATGCACAGTACGGAATCACGTTTCCCTGTACAACTGTACATATGCAGATACTGTTATATTTATCTTTGCACTATTTACATCCTTTGAACTGTTAACTCATGTAACTTATCTTGTTATTCTGCACTATTTCATCCCATTGCACTAGCGTTTTATAAGCTTACTGTACATTATTCATTACTTGTCATTTAAATCCATAAAGTCTGTTGTATATTGTACATTACCTTATTTCTCGTACTGTAAATATCAGTTGTACATCTCTATCGGTATTAGTACTGACTGTACATACTGTGCACTCTGCACTGCTGTTTATTGCACTTCTGGTTAAATGCTAAACTGTATTTCATTGCCTTGTACTTGTACATGTGTAACGATAAAGTTGAATCTAAGTGTTTTAAGAATACGGCTGTCTTTTGTAAGTGTTTCTAAGCTCAGAGCTTCAGGCGGCTGAGATTGTGAGGAGGAGGCAAGACTCAGATAAACAACAAGACAAGAATCCGGCGTATCATCAGCTCCTGGCAATCTGTGAAACACTGGAACTGCCTGAACCCAGAGAGCAGGATGCAGCAGCAGTTTTCTCCCAAGTTCAGAACAAGGTGGGTCTATTTAATGCTGTTTTAAATGTGATTATATGCATATATCCAAAATTTGCCTGTGACAGTAAATGTGAGGGACCACTGCTAGCTCCTGTGCCACATGACTGAGTTTGGGATAATTCATTCCAAGCTCATTGCACGTATTTGCCAATGGGATTCCCAGTAATAATAATGTTTGGTGTCCTGGGGTCAAGAATTATCCTGTTGGTTTATATAAAGACCAGCAACTTATGCATATTTTGCCTTCCTTTTTGTGATAACAATGAAACCTCTCTTGTTCTTACAGATTGATAAAGTACTTAAAGTTCTTCCAAATGGCTCAGTTGGAAACCCGGTACTGAAGAAATCTCTCAGCAGTGAACAGTGGGTAAGTAGATGACTCTCAAATTAGCCATTCTATATTAACTTCAACTTCTAGTAAAATCAATGGCTGAGCATGTCTTGTAGTTTCACTAGCCTTTTTTGTCTCTGCAGGAGAAGTTGCACAACATCAACACAGTTCTGTCTTCAGAGTACAAGTGTCGGCGCAGGATGCTGATCAAACGGCTCGATGTCACAGTTCAGTCATTTGGGTGGTCAGACAGAGCCAAGGCATGTTTTCCTGACACAAGTTTGTCTCTTCCTTTGTTACAAGGGGCTAGCATGTAAATTATTATAAGGGGTGCGAATTCTGTAATGAATCACTGCTTCCAACAGCTGCTTTGAGCAGTGTCCTCTCAAAAGCATAACATTTTAGACCTGTGTGGCTTAAAATTTGTCAAAAGCTTTCTTTTTCCTAAACTGAATAGGTTACATGTTGTTGAGTAGTAGTTTGTGGAAGGAACTGTTTATTCTGTAGACACTGACTTTATCATGTGTGTGCTTGTTGTTTGTTAGGTGATGGTGGACAGCATGGCGAGGGCCTACCAACCTAAGAGGCATTCTCTGAGGCCACAATCATCGGTGGACATGGCAGACCTGCTGGCTGCCAGAGAAGACATCTGCAACATGGTGAAGACCAGCAGTGGATCGAGCAGGGAGAAGACTGCGTGTGCTCTCAACAAGGTACTGAAGAGCTTTACCCCTTTCCCAATAAATGCTTTTAATTGGACTGTTTATTCATGTTTCTCTGTTATTCACAGATCCTGATGGGGAGAGTGCCAGACCGAGGAGGACGTCCCTCAGAGATAGAAGCACCGCCTCCTGAGATGCCACCCTGGCAGAAAAGACAAGATGGGGGTGGGGGCTGGGGAGGACACGGCCGTGGAGGAGGAGGTTGGGGCCGAGGAGGCGGTGGTGGAGACAGCTGGCGGGGAGGAGGGCGGAGGGGAGGTGGGGGTGTTCGGAACCATAGTGGACATGAACATTATGGAGGCCACAGTGGACATGGAGGATATGGTGGACACGGAGGGAAGAGAGGACGGTACCAGTATTAATTTTTACTTGTTTTTCTCATGTGATTTAGAGTTGGTGTTTTGTAAGACCTCGGTTGTGTGTCTGTGTTTTCTATAGATGAAGAAAACCTTTTAATCTGATGTCACATTAGCAGCAATCAGCGAAAAAAATTTTTTTTATCCACTATTAGTCTAATTTTGCTTCTTTAAATGTTCAGTGTTTTTAGCTGACAGGATATGATTTAACACATGCGATGGGCCGGTAACTACAAGGTGGTATAATGGACCACTGTAAAACAAGTATCTTCAAAATATTTATTCTCGGCTCAAACGATTCTCTAAATTTTTTTCCAATGTCATACCATATTCTGCTGTGATAGATACAATTTTTTACATAGTTTGTACAATAACCAATACTGATTAAAGCAGAATTTTACATTGTGTATGGAAAAACATACCTGTACATAAACAAAACAGTTACACATTGGCCACAAGTCACTTTTCAGTCTCTACACTAAGACTCAGTCTCTTAAAAACAAAAACACAAAATTCAAAACAAGTTTTAAAAAAGGTCTTCAAAAGATTCTGTTAAAACGCATCTCAATACGAGTCAAGATGTATTTTTCTCTAGTTAAGCTCACTGTGCATCTTTGACGGCAAAAACTTGTCAATAAAAACAGGGTAAGAAAAGTTAACTCTTCACTTTGGCCACATCATAAATTAAAGTCAGCGCCCTGAATTGCAAATCTACAATTAAAATTAAGCTGATCAAAAAAAAAAAGAAGATATGACTCAATGTAAACTCTGCAGTGCTTGTAAGCTTCACTTCTAAATACTCCCTATAGCTGCAGCAGGAAACAGAAAGGTGCTGTGCCCAGCTCCAGTCAAATGTGATAGTAGTATAAGTGTTTATTAATAGTCGGGAGGCTATTTGTAACAGCAGGAGGTATCTCTGCAGTGGGACATTTCCCAAATGACTCAAAACCTGAGAGTCTGTCTCATGGACCCTGCTGAGAACCACAAAGGCTCAGGTGTTATAACTTTGAGGGTTATGAGCTCTATACATGAATATTACTGTTTGCAATTATGTTTTTTTTTCTAATGTATCAATTGTGATGGTAGCATCTCATATCAGATATGTTCAGCACAAAATAGCAAAAAATATATCGATATTGGCAAGGGTTAGATATATGTTGGACGGGAAAGCACTACGTATTTTGTATTCTTCGTTGATTTTACATACTTAGAGTATGGCGTTGAAAACTGGGGAAATACATACAAAAGCTCACTTCAACCGTTGTATATATTACAAAAAAGAGCGATAAGAATTGTGCATAAGATGGGGTATAGGGATCACACCAATGTAGCTTTCATACAGTCTAAATAGTTAAAATGTTTTGATTTAGTGGGATATAAGACTGCTGTGTTTATGTATAAAGCCAGGAACAATTTATTACCTGGTGGAATTCAAAAACTATTTAATGAAAGGGAAGGGGGATACAATTTAAGGGGTCAGTTAAATTTAAAAATTCATGCTATACGTACAACCAAAAAAAGATTTTGTATTTCCATAAGTGGGGTAAAACTATGGAATAATTTAAGTGTGGACATAAAAAATGGTAATAGAATTGATGAGTTTAAACATAAATATAAAGGTATGTGTCAATCAAGATATATGCAAGAACAGGCTCTATGATTAATTAGATGGAACATTGTGGGTGTGGTGTATGAATGTTAACACTTTGTAATAATTCTTTAGTATGTTACTTGTGTGGTGTAGAAGAGAATTATTTATGTAGAGATACTGCTTGCAAACCAATGATGTAAGATGATGTCATGGGGTAGGACTGGATAAGTCTGACTTCTTCCTACTCCATTCAAGCATGTACTAGGTATAAGCAAATTGATATGTGTAAAATTATGTGTTGACATATCAACTGTCTTTACATGCTTGAAAGAATAAATGAAATCAAACATCAGTATTCATAGATCTTAAAAATAAACTGTATTGTTCTTGCTCAAAATAGCACTAAGTTCAAATATAAAATTACATTTCCATTTTCACTGTCAAGCATATCTACTTCCAATCAATCCAGTGTTTTACCAGGACCGATATATCATCTGCCACCCCTCTGTGTTAGGTGTTTGCCAGGTAGAAAGGATTTTTCAAAAATACAGAAAAGAGTGACTGTTTAAGATGCATACACCTCAATAAACCTGCATGGCATCCTTGATCAAATTTGCCCATACTAAATGCCTCATTTCCACCAGATCTGGCTGCATTGCATTTTGTCTGCACGTGGTTCTGATCGATCCTCTGTACGGCTTCATCCCCCACCAGGTTCACCTGCGAAGCGGCTTGTTTGGTGTGTAGACTATATTTCCTGGTTTTTGAGCTTCTACAGTAAGCAGGCTTTGTAATGGTTTCTTTTCTGTCTGTTTTGTTTATTGTTCTTATTTCCTACTTGTGCTGTAGCCTGCAGAGAAGGACAACAGATAACAGTTAAATTAACTATTATTTATGGAAATGGATCAAAGATTTGTGGCTGTGTTTCAGTTGTTAGCAATACAATAATCCTGAAAGGCTAATCAATTCTTAGCCTATGTTTCACATAGATATCTTTCGGAGAAAGCGCTATATGATTGGTGGGTTGAACTTTGTCAGATGTGGCATCTGTCAAAAATAGACTCGACACGTATCTTAAGTGAAGTGTACCATAGAGGCACATGTAGGACGTATTGGAGATTGAATGCAGTCGGACCTGGTGGGAACAACCACTGACTAGAATGGCAGTGGTCAGCTCCAGCGATTGCGTCACAGACTGAATGCAATGCAGCTGGATCTGGTGGAAATTAGGGACAAATCATAGATCTGGATCAGTTTTTATGGCACATTAGCCTTTTTTAACTGAATGTAAATCTATAAATACTCAAGTTAAAGTCCCTGTCTGTGCCACAGAAGACCAAATGATAACATTAAATCTGTCTGCACTCTCAGCTCCATATTCAAACCTTCATAAAGTATTACTGAGCTTTTGTTTACATCATTACCATAGAAAGTTCTTAACTATCAGAACCAATAACAGCAATCCTAGACACCCATTTAAGAGTAGATCAACTGGTTTTGATGCACATATAAAAGTTTTTTTAATGTGGCTTAACACTGATTCATTATGTACAGCAAATTACTAGGAAAGTGCTTGGCTTTATTAAACAATGCATGTTAAAAAAAAAAGAAAAATATATATATAATACTGTTTAGAGGCAGGTCATAAGTCATATACTCCTTCATGTTCCATCATGTGCTTCTACTGGCACATATTTTTCAGTCAGCTGTGCCTGATTTGGCCAAAACCAGATCCACCACATACCAACCGCTATGTTTAGACAGATTTAAAGCTGCATCCCTACAGTATAGTGCAGTCGGGCATAAACCTGGAGCTAACCCCTCCCTCCAACTACGTGTCATACGTGATGACAGTGTATGCCTGTGCTCAGATCAACCGTGAGTTTCGGAGGTATTGGATGAGAACCTTGTAGATGAAGTTGTATTGAGACAGAGTCTGGACCATCAGCATCCTCTGATCACGCAGATTCATTAGGACCTCTGGGACGTCCAGTGGCTGAAACAGACATTTACTATCAGAGAGACCGCACGGTTTCATTTAAAACCAGAGATGGCAAAGCAACCAAGGAAATGTACACACATGCTGGTCGAGGGACAGAGATCACTTTAACTCTTGGTCAGTTACTGTGATAACTTATTCCTGTCATAGCTGTCATCATATTGGAGTTTATGTGAATATTTCTGGACCAGGAGGTTATGAGGGGTGAAGTACTGGGTAGTACTGGTTCTGATAATGGAAAAACAACATTATTCACCTGTGCCATTATTGTCCAAGAACTATTAAAGCCGTGAGCCACACCACTACACTGGGTGACATGTTTCTTCCTCACAAAATGCGTGGTATGTCTCGTTTCAAAACAGACCAGTGTGGCTCACCGCTTTAATAGTTTTCAAACAACAATGGTCTATGGCACAGATGAATAATCTAAACCAAACTCTGGATTCAAGGATACTAATGTGAGCTCATTACTGGGTCAGACAATGAGTTTACAATAAAGGTGCATAAATCTTTTTTCTCATCTGTTTTTTCACTTGTCTCCATCAGACTACAGCTGAATAAATGATTTAAAAGTGTTATGTCAAATATAGGAGGATTCCATCACTTTATCAAAGTAAGAAAATTCAAGTCCACAAAGTAATGAATGAGCTGAATAAGATGTAATAGTATTTATTCCATTAACTACATGTTCAAAAGCTAAATGTGCACTGTCACTCAATATTTTTTTTTAGCTCCAATGATTAAAATGGCAGTTCTGCTCTTTACTTACTTGTTGCCATGGTGATTTGTATCTCCACTGATGTTTACACAGGTCTCAGAGTGAGCAAGCTCAGACTAAACTCAATTGACTGTAGTCAGTTTCCCATCTCAGAGTCAGACCCTTAAACCTGCTTTCTGGAGCAGGCCCCTGATCTGATCCTAACATGGACAGGTCTTCTGTTTTTAATGCCACTTTTGTGAAAGGGAGAAACATACCTCATTGTGCTCTAGACAGGCTATCATGATCTCAGACAGGATGACCACTCCAGTCCGTCCCACACCAGCACTGCAGTGGACCAGCACAGGTAGGTTGGTGTTCTTTGGGTCACTGATGCTGTTTGTGTGTCTCCTCACAGACTGGATCTCCTCCAGGTAAGCTGGAAAAACCAGAAATACTCACTTAACATTCAATTAGATATACATAGTAGATTGAACAAAATGGTGAACACTTTCTGTTCAAGACTTATCTCCATGTGCTGTCTTTATTTCTTGCACTACTGATTAGTATTACAGTGTTATATGGCATGAGTGTTGCTATCACTGCAACCAATCAGCCATATTTTCACTCTTCCAGTTTGATCAAGTCATGATGACCACAAAAGGACAGTGATTCCACTCACTGAGGAAACCTTTGAAGTCCTCAGGACAGCCATGGTCAGGCCAGTCTGTGTACTGCAGGTGCCAGACAGTCCGCTCTTGTCCCGTCAGGAGGTGTTTGATCTTCAGTCCTGTGGTGGCGTAGCAGCCAGACTCGGTGCGGAACCGTGTGGTGATTTTGAAGCGGCCATATGTCACCGTGTTGTGTCGTGAGCCCAGTCGGGGCCAATACCGGAAGCTCTTTTCTCGCCCACTCTCCTGAAAAGGAAGAGAATGACACAGGAAGGTTAGTCCAGGGAGTGCTGGAAAGTTTAAAAAGAATGTGGAGCTGTAAGTATCAAATCAACACACCTCTTCAGCAGTGACCATGGCAATGATGGAGACACCTTGCTCCCACACCATCTGCCAGAAGTCCTGACACGTGTTTGACATGGGACCCTGTGTGGCGATGTAGTTCCACTCCTGTCCTCCTGCTGTCAACTGGGACAAGACACAACTTTAAGACTTGTCACAGTCACAAGCTTCCTACAAGCCACCAAATAGTCCTGTATGAGAAGCATGTTTGCTACTCGTGAGCTGTGGTCTGGTTATCAGGGTTGGACAATGAGGTAAATATGCTGTGTGGATGCAGAAAGGCATTCTGTGTAAGTGGTTCAGCATGCACATGGATTGTTTAAACCAGCACGTCAGCCTGTTTTCTGACCAAACAGTGGATACTGAAATTAGAGAACTGATTTTCTCTGCTTTACTAATGGAGAAGTCATCACAAGCACTGTCACTGCTAGGAAAAAAAGGTGTTTGTGGCTTGTTAGCTTAACTGAGAACAAAACTATACAAGTGTGGTTTTGAAAAGAGATATGTGTGGTACATCTCAGCACAGCTTACTCTAATATGGGATGCATTGATGTATCCTGTGTTGTTCTCTTTAGTAGGAACCAGCTCCACTCGGTTTTTGTCATAAGGCAGGACATCTTGGAAGCGATTTTTGTCTGAGCTCTCTGGCAGCTGAGCGATGGTGTATTCCCCTCCTGGACGCTTTTGGATTTTCTCGTATTCTTTTAACAGCTCGCCCCGGTCCATGTGCTGCTCCAGCGCTTTACACTGACATACAGAAACAAGGATGCAGTGGGCAATGTAGATATCATTTCAGAATCCATTTTAACTTCATTAGAGCAGCCAGTTTAATTTTAGAAGAGGCTGAGCTGACATGTACAGTATCACCCCCTAATATTTGGTCAAAACAGAATCAGCAGTGACATTTGGATGACAACTTGCAGTCATTATTATGGACTCAGTCAGCAGCTCATTTGTGCCTTATTTTCTATCACTGTAGTTTTAGTCTATTGTGGCATCATGATGTCACAGCAGTTTATAGCCTACAGAATATGACCTACAATCTGAATGAAAATCTGTTTAAACTGATCTGCCCTTAAAATCTGTAAAAACTGAAAATACATAGCACCGCTCGCTCGGTTATTTTTGAAACTGTCAAAACACCAAAATAAAGTGCATTGTTTATACCAACTTTAATCTGCTGCAGTGGAACTATGTGCATGCACAATGATGCAACAGATGGCGTCAGTAGACATACAAGAGCAAAGAAGCATGCAAACCGCTGCGATTTGCAGATGACTAGCACTCAACCAACTACAAGTTGGTAATGTCTCTGGCATAAGACATGACCCTACTGCAAGCTGACATTTGATTTTAGTAAATGACGTGTTGATTGACCTAATAAGCAGGTCATTTTAAAGTGTCTGAAATTTGCCTTCACTATCAACGTAACAAGCCTCAAGATTAACAACGCTCACCAGTTCTTTTGTGTATTTGAGTCAGGAACTAAACGGTAATTAACACTTTATAACAAGGCCTCAACTACCAGGATGTTACTAATACCAGCACAACCTGCAGTTCTCGGCAATAGCAAGGTTTCAAAATGTCACACCGTTAACAGTACACAAGCAACATCCAGCAAAGCTCTCGCATATTAATGTCTAAACTAACCATTAAATGTATTACTTTACAAATATAAACATCTTCAAAGAACAAAGCAGAGCCATACCCTCTCGTCATTAGAAGCTTGTTCAGGCTCATCCTTCACCTCGTCCTGCACCGGCTGCCTCAACAATGTCAGGCCGTTGAGCCTGGCCACCCTCTGAGGGCCCATCTTCCTCACCTCTGACCGAGCTCCTTTCTTCATGCCCTAGTATGACAGCAGAATAGAGGCAGAAAAAGAGAGTTATTACTGCATAAGCCTCGCGGAGACTAGCGAGTAGGAAGTTGAGGGGAGGGACAGTGCAGACTCGTTGCGTGTCTTCTAGTACAATGTCACATATCGGGTTTTCCCAAAGTAGTCTGACTACATTCTTTTACTCTGTTTCAAAGTGAGCCTCCTTGGATCAGTCAATATCAGCCACTGAAACTACCTCAGTGCTTTTGACGTGCATACTCATGTTGTCTTTATATGAAGCACAGAGAAAATGTACACACAATGCACTGCAAATGAATGAACAATGGGAGCAGCTGTTTGCCTTTTGACATCGAGTTCTACATTATAGTGCAGTATTACAGTGCTGCTAAAGAGCAACATAAAGCTGTGAGAGTCAATGCTGTCGTGCTGAAAACATCAATTATCTACTAAATCATTAAACTTGCTTTCTTGCACATTTAAAAACAAATGTGTTGAATTCTTTAGAGACCAAATATAATATCGCTCAGACTGTGAAGTAGAGCTGAAACGATTTATCAACCGCATGAACAAAAGAAAACTGATCAGTTACTATTTTAGTAGTGGCTCCATTGTCATTTTTCCAAACAAAAATGACATTTTGCTGGTTTCAGCTCCTCAAATGTGAGGATTTGCTTTTCATTTGTCAAATATGCTCGTAATCAAAACATCTCATATTTTGGATCTGTGGTTGGAGAAACCATGCCAACTGACAACACCTTAAATTCTGAGAAACTGATGTGATATATTTTACTACTTTGTGACGTAGTCCCTCCAACGTCCCTCCCAAAGAAAAGCCCATCAGTTTCTATTTCTATTTCTCTGTTTTAACATATTCAGTCATCACTGTCCTGTACTGCTGAACAACTGCATGGCTTATGAAGTTTTTCTCTAAAAAAAAGCATTAACAGGATGGGTCTAAGCTGAAGAGGAGATCAGAAACAGAACTCACCGGAGGCGGCAAACCTTCAACTGCTTTCTTCCCAGGAGGCACATCAGACACAGGCCTCTTCTTGAAGTCTGCTTTAGGCCTGTGCTTGCCCTGGCCACTCAGGTCTCCCTCTGACATGAAGGGCATGATCCTGGACTGTCGTAAACCTGGCAGCAGGTACAGAGGCTCACTCTCATGGATCAGTCGGTGAACCTTGTACGTCAAGGAGCTGGTTATAGAGGGGTCAAGAGAGGAGCCTATGGGATATGCAGGAGGTGGTTCTATGGGAGTCTGCTGCTGAGGCGTCAGAGAGGAGAGAGATGTCAAGCTGTGATGTTGTGGTGCCTGCTCAGGAACAATGGCTGCAGTTACATCTTGAGAAAGTGGAGTATGCCGTCCGCTATCATCCTCAAACTCCTCATCTTCACCACTACTGTGAACCAACATGGTAGCATCTGAAAGGGACTTTTTGTGTCCATACTGTACATCCTCAATGTTTTCCTTGTCCTCTCTCTTTGTATGTTCCAAAAACACATTGAGGTGGGAGCCTTGAGAGCGACCACCTTGCAGGACTGGAGGGGGTGTTGCAGTTTCAGCTGCTGAAGATGACACAGTTCGCTCTTTGACTCTCATCCCTTCAAGACTATGAGTCAACCCAGCAATCTCGATGGAGTTGCGCTTCTGGGCATTGTACAGGTGTCTGTGTGAGGGTCCGCTGAAAAGAGGCTCTGACACCTCTTGCAAAGAGTGAGCAACAGGCAGACTGTCCTCCTGGAAAGTCTGGACTGAATGATGCACACGCCGCATGATGACCAGGTCTGGGTTGCTACTGCTGACATACAGGTGACGAGACAGGTCAGGTGTGCTGTTTGCTGGCCGAGGATGGGCATATGGGTAGGGCGGAGGTGGTCGGTACACTTGTGTTCTCATGATGTTGGGGGCCTGATACTCCTGGGCTTGTTGTAACTGAACATTAGTGAGCTCTGGGACACTTACCGCCCCCACTACAGGTCTCCTCTCTGTAGGGTAGGGGTATGGAGAGGGGCTGTGGAAGCTGGAGCCCATATGGAAGGGATAGTGGTGGTGTTGGGCTGCTCTGCCATGCTCCCCCCTGATCTCTGGCTGGCTGTAAACTAGAGGGTCTGGTCTGCTGTAGGCATATGAGTTCCCTATGTTTAGATTCCTCATGGAGTGGCTCTGCCGATGCTCTTGAGACAAAACCATCCCTCCTCCTGCTATTAGATTCTTCTGATGCATCACCGTCTCATAATCAGGAGTGGCACGATAAGAAGGTGGGATTAGAGCGCTGTGGCGATGCGAGGGGATGTAGTCTGGCCTGGTGATATCACTAGTGATAGAAGGGTTGGAGGACATGGGTGAGGGCTGAAGGTAGTGCTGGGGATTGGTCAAAGAGCTGGTGCTGTGGGCACTGTAGACACTGCCATTACGTAAACGCCCTCCGCTACTGTATTCCAGAGGAGAGCAGTCCAGGCTGGTCTGGGAGTGGTAGTAATAACCATTCTGACTGTTCATGTATAGGTTGTCTGTGAGAGTGAGAACATTCCAAGATGGAGACAAAATTATAATTACAAAAATATTTTATATATATATATATTTCCATTTAGCTCAACACAGTACAGGAATCACGGTACAAAAAATTTGGAGCATCATGTAAACATTTATAACATTCCCATGCAATTGTTTTCAATTTCCCAGCAGCAAATTTCTTTCCATACAATAGTTACCCTGTGATGATGTGTAAGGCTCTGTGAAATGGCCATTGTAGTGCATTTGTGGAGGGGGCATCATGTAGGCCTGAGGCTTTGGCTGTAAGTGAACAAGAGAGGGATTCAGTCACTGCTCTTTTGATCGAAATACTGTCTAAGAGCAAAAATAAATAAATAAATATGGTAACACACTGCTGCTAGATATTACATGCTGCCACGCAAACTAGAAATGCAAGAGCCAATTAATACAAGCACTGACATGGGGAAACGAGTGTGCTGAGTGAGCAGAGACAGAAATTACCAGAGATATTCTAGTGGAGGATCTCCGTCTGACTGGGTTGACAACAGTAGGCTGGGTTTGGCTGGTGAGAAAACAAATGTAGATCAAACAAACATGACCTACCCCAATCCTATTACTTTTTCCAATCTATTGCTTTGAGGAATCTATATTTCTTCAAAACCCTTTTACCATTTAACTTTGAGAACATACACACAGAGCAAGGTGAAAACCAATACAAGTTCAACAAAATTAAAACCCACTGCACAACTGTTCTCTAATTAACCATGCCACATTTCTGCTCCAGTGAACCAAGAGGCATGGTGTGCTGGAGTTGTGTGATTACTTTTAATTTTGACTGACTTATTTAAAAAACATACATTGTAACACATGACTTCAAACAAAATTAAATACTGTAAAAAACTAGGGCTATACCCAACTAAGAATTTTGTCAGTCGGCTCTTAAGTGCACCTAATCGGTTTTTCCTTCTCAGACATGGTTATAGCCTATTTACCAACAAGTTTGAGCTTCTCTCATCAGTTAACCACCAGCGCATGTTATGTTTGGTGCATGCCAACTTGCACTGCTAAAGAATATATGAATATATATTTATAATTCCTCTGATTTATAATTCCTCATTGAAATGTTTCCACAGCTAATTTTTTTTTTGTTAGCTTCCAAGTCCCGTTCAGATGGATGTATGTCGCAGAAACATAAGTTAAATGGCTGTGTGTTACACTTTCATAGATAGGCAAACAAACCAGATGCAAAACCAGTCACATCATCACAGCCATTAAGTCTTTTCTCTTGTACAAGTAGATCACAATGTTTGAAAACACTACTAATAAAGTACAAATCTTAACTTTGTGTCTTGTCCTCATAGATTCTCTTATATCTTTTGCTCCTCGTTCTGGAAAGCAATTTGCTAAATAGTGTCATTGGATGCTATACATCCATGAGTCGTACAGTGGTTACCACTGAAATGGGTATTTCCCCCCGAACACAGGAGGAAGCAAATTGCTGCTTGGCACACCAAAACGAGGAGAAGGCGACGACGACACTGATAAGGATGCCTTCTATTGTAATGTACGGCGGCTGACAAGAAATTAAATATAATAAAATAAAAACAAAGATTTGCCTAGAAAAGGCTCAGTTGACTGAGGGATCTCTCGACTAATTATTCAACTAGTCGACTTTCAGGGGGCAGCCCTAATGAAAACGTGTCATGGTCAGCAAAAATATGATGAAATAATAAGTCATCAGACTTGCAGAACTTTCAATGCACTATAGTTTTTGCCTAAATTTTACAGACAGAATTCAGCTGGTACTCAAGTGATGAGGTTTAATATCCTGACCTAACAACAAGGGCAAGATAAAAGGTACATATACAATTAAGTACAGGCTATAAACCAAATATATATGTAAAGGTCCATATCAGATACAGAGAGTATGTTTGCTGTGACATTGTTGGCTAAGGCAATCAGGAAGAGATAGGTGTTGACACCTGCTCAACAGGCATAGTGCAGGCGGTGGCTGACTCTGTTGCTCACCCCTTATTAGAAGGCAAAGAGGAACGAGAGAGCATTGGAAAGCGAGGAAAGGATAGAGTGAGAAGGGTCTTCTGGGAGGCCTCAGAAGGCAGGGGGTCACACTCCTCTCTGAAGAGAGAGGTGGAGATGAGGACAGAAGTGAGGCTACACCAAAGAGAGAGACACGTGCACGAAATGACAAGGAGCAAAGTGACAGGCACTAGGCTGGACATGTTAAAAGCAAAAAACACTTACAAGCTGCTCTTGTTAATCTTATAAAATTTGAGTCTGGCCAGACACATCCGGCACACATATTTGGAGGTTTCCATGTCTTCCTACACAAAAGAGGAGAGAAAAGAAATCATCAGATAAAAAGACAATTGGTACAGTGTTGGTATTTTCTTATGTCTCTACAAAATAAAAACATTCATGTGTATGCACTCACATACTTTTGAGTTTCCGCTAATGGTATGATTCATATCCAAACAATCCAAGTTTCAGCCCTGCCCACACATACACTGTTAGGACTAGCTGATGATAAACTCTACCACAAAGGTCATTTCCAAGTGTGCTAATACCAATAAGAGATGGCAATGACCCTGGGGATAGGGAGAGAAGAGAGAGTGCAATGGCAGAAGACACTTACTGTCTGGAACTGAACACTCTCCTCTCTGTTGACTAGTTCCAGGGCAAAGAAGGATCTGTTGTGACTCATGTTGTTAATTTCATTCCACCTACCCCGGTCAATTACAGCACATTGGCAAAGAAAAAAGGAGGGGAAAACACATGATGTCATGACAGTCCACAAAACGCATGTTTTCAAAGAGACTGCGGCACCACCTTAACTAGTCCAGTACTCATAATGGTATGTAGACAGATACAGTTCAGTCTTGGTCAAAAATGTTCACTTACTCACTATTCTATACTGAGTGATGCAATACAAGTACTGCTCTGGGCAACAGGATATCACACAAACATTTCATTCAGTGCTTCATATTGAGAAGTTCATATTTCAGGACTTTGGGGCATTGCTGCAAAAGTCAAACCAGCATTCTCCAACTTGTTTAGATTTACCTAAATAAAAGAAGTGGCCTTCCGTTTTTGTGCTTCACAAAGATACCGTCAAGGCAGGATCCCAGGGTCACATCTGTGCCTGTACTGTCCTGTAAGAGGAGAGGGTTGAGAGGGTTAAGGTTTCATTTCTTACACAGCAGTTCTATGATCAAGCTGCACAGTAGCAGCAATAATTTGCAGCTTCATATTTCTTTGCGTTTTGGCCGTTGGGACCTTGTAGACCTACCTTGGCTTGATAGCTTTCTTGGCCATAGCCTTCTATCTTCTCCACCTCCTGCATGTATAACATCTCTGCCTCTGGGGCTGACAAACCCCTGAATGATAAAAAATGGCAAGAAAAATATGAAGAAACAACAGCCAAAGCCCACTGAACATACGTAAAACACCAAAGACAGACACAGAAATGCAAAGTGAATCCAGATGATTGTCATCATCTACATTAATAAAAGGCAGACTGCCTAGGCCGATGTAAAAGAACTGTCTGAACAGTTTGCCTGTGCAATATGTGCTGCTGTTTGGATGTTGATCCACACAGAACACAGGCAGGCTGATGCTTAGAGAACCTGCTCACCTGAAGGACTGATAAAGAAGAGCCACTTTCTGAGTGGCCTCCTCCAGCACCCGCTCATCCTGGATCCAGTCCTGCAAAGACAGTGTCAGAATTGATAAGGTGTTGGTAAAAACACAAATGAACATGGACATTTAAAAAATTTTCATTCCATGTGTTGAGCAAGCAAAATAAAATGCTTACAATAGGGAATAGCACAAACTTCTGGAGGAACTCCTGGGAATCGTATCGACTGAAGTCTCCAAAGTCAGCTGTAAACATAAAGGAGGATCTCTGAATAAACTCAATTACATGTTCATATCCATCTAGTGCAAGGAAAAACAGACCAGAATTAAGAATTGCACAATGGTGTCATTTCTTTTGGAGAACTGCATGATGACTGGATAAATTATTTTAGGAAAGGAGGGGCCCATTTGTTATGGTAAGGAATTGCCTCAGCGTCTGACAATGCAGAAGTCCAAAACTGTTCCAGCTTCAGACAGCCTGCTCGCAACATTTGCAGCTATGCTGAGCATCCCAGGCATCAGCAATGCTTAATAGCTACAAGTGCCCTTCACTCCAGGCTCTTCTTTCCTTGCCTCATTTATTCACAGCACAAATGCCAAGTTTACGTGTCATCTTAAACATTTTAGGGGCACTTACAAAAAGTTTCATAGGCTTTGCTTTATGACATGTAGTGCATGCTGGTCAGTCATTTGAACATGCTACAACAGTTAATGATCTCAGCAGCTCTGCTATGCTAAAACCCAGGCCAGTAGTGTTGCAGTGCCTGATATAACTTTGCCAGCAGAGTTTGAGATTCTTCTAGCTAGGGAAAGGTGGGAGGACATGTCAGGAATAAAGCTCATCCAAGGGGAGTTCACATTCACATAGAAACACACCCACACCCTTGACCAATTTTAAGCTGCTTTGGCTATGATTGGCAAGTGCTGTATATTACAAGAATTGTGAAAATGTTCTTATAAATCCCTTGGTAAGTGGTTGAACAGAGACTTCAGATAATTAAAACAAGGGGTGTAGTAGTATAGTTTGCTTCACAATATTAGTTTTTGAAATTCCAACTTTTAGTCCCATTTTCCTAGTTGTGATCTGAGAGGAAACTAGGTTTTGTATGCAAAAATTGTTTCTCTTGCTCTGAAGAAGGTTACAAGGCAACTGCCTGGGAATTAACAGGGTTATTTTAGCTAAAACATTAATGGACTGGCTCAAGTTTCCCCACACAGAAATCACTGAAAATAATTTCTAGTGTTCCAGTGCAACTTTTGTAGATGTGAGAGGGAGTCTTCTGTTCCAACAGTGTCATTTGTTATCATGTTTCATGGACAATTACTCTGTAATCACACCCTTAATTACTTTGCTTATGACAAACAGCTGAAAGATTTATGCCTAGTAACACCAGGCTTGTCAAACTATTTTATCATACATTTATATTACCTTGCACCGCCAAGCTAGCTAAACGTATAGCTTGTTCTAGTGAGCAAGAGATCCTGCCCTCCAGAACATCCTTCTTCAGCTGTAGATAATACTGATATCTGTGGAGAAAGGGAGGGATATTTGAGTAAAGAGCAGAAAAGCAATCAACAGCCAAATATGGCTACTTTATTCAGGTATGCAGAAATGGCAATACCAGAGCAAAATACAGAATACCTTTTTGACATATTTAAACAATTATACTTGATGCCTCCCTGCTTGGTGCTAGAACTGTGTGGAGAGGGGTAAGAAGCCATCACTATAAAAAGGTTCTTTGTTTACAACTGTGCATCTAAACTGCTTCACCAACTTCTTGGCCTGACCAGATCTTACTGTGGCAAAACAGCAAGTGAAGCCTATATGCATTTATATATTATACACCATATACATTTCTCTTAAAATATGGTCCAATCTTCATTTACTATAGGTTACAATGATGAACAATCTATTCTAAATAATACCACACAAATTACTCTATTGTCCACATTCAGTACTTCATTCAAATCCAACTTTTAGAGTAGCCCAGTAAGAGGCCTGCACCTTAACTTAATAAAGATGCTGTGAAATGACCTCAAGAGAGCCATTCATCATCTGAAGAATAAGGCTGAGCTAAAGCAATTCTTTTAGGAAAATTTGTTCATAATTCCTCCTGAACACTGTGCAGGTCTGATCCTCAGCTACTGGAAGCACTTGTTTGACGTTCCAATTGCCAAAGGAAGTTGACTAGTTATTAAATACAAGGGTTCACTTACTTTTCACACTAGCAATTTGAATGTTTAAACGGCATGTTCTATAAAGATACAAAACATCATAATTGTTTGGCTTTGTGTTTGTCTGTACTTGTGACTTAGACAAGATCGCATCACATTTTATTTTATGTAAAAAAAAAAAAACAGGTAATTTCCTAAGTTTTTTTAATGCTGTACAACAAAACAAACAAAAAACATTTATGTGGTTACACTAAACTTGGCCTGGCACTCATTTTAAAATTAAATGTTACATCTTTTTGTCTAATATTCTTGAAGATGAATTATTGCTAAGCTAGTAAAGTTAGTGGCTCGAACAAGACATCTCATGCTACTGATGGAACATCACCTTGTGATCTCCTGTTGCAGTTGGGTGACACTGGGTATGTAAAACAAGACTCCAAAGTAAACGGTGGGCTCCAGCCCATACTTGTCCAGCTGCTTTTTGAGTGGCTTCTCTAAGTCGATCCATCTCTGCTGGTTTTGCTTGTTGATGTACCAGAGACTGAAATATGTTATCTAACAAGCAAAAAAAAAAAAACAGACACATTAAACTACAACCATGCTGTGATCAAGGACATTTTAGGACAACTTGTAAATATACTATAGCAAACCAGTGTAGGTTTAGCCATTTTGTAGTGAAGTAGAAAGGATGCATACTTACCAAAACATGTATATATATATATATATTACATATTAAAAATATTACATGAATACTTAAGATCAATATTACACATGCCTCCTGTTTAGTCACTTGTTTTAAGAGCATAATCTGCTAGTTTTCTTCTTTTTCATCTATATTGTATTCAAAACGTGTAAACCTGGAAATTAAACCAGTGCAAGCTACTCTAGATTTATAGGCTGCTCTCTGACCACCTCACAATGAACACTAGTAAGCAGAGTAACCACTACAGACTTGCTACTGATGAAGAACAATTTAGCTGAAACAGACCTGGTGTGCTTTGCAGACACTCTCAAACCACAACTATAAAACATATGATTTACACCAGATTGCATTGCTTAGCTACTATGAATAAACACTGTGTGAAAATTACTCAGCCGTTTTTAAATATATAAGTTTGTATAATATTAATGGCCGCACACAGAGGAATTAGCAATACATAAGACATAGATTAAAGCAGGGGTGGGCATCCGGTCCTCGAGGGTCACTGCCCTGTTTGTTTTCCAACTATCCCTGCCCTACCCATTGCTGATTACCTAGATCAGGTGTGTTCTGTCAATCAGAAGGTGGAAGATACCATCTTAGATGAAGGTGAAATGAGGAAAAACTAATGAATTGGTATTTTCCACCTTCTGATTGACTGAACACAAGGTAGGGCAGCGGCCCTCGAGGGCCAGGATTGCCCACCCTAGGGTTAAAGCCTCCAATTTTTTTGGAAGACAAACTACACTCCAATGAGGGGAAAACCACTGTGGTACTTTTTACGATCAGACTGAAACTGATTTAATGAAATCTCAAAACACAGGCTCCATCGACCCATATAGCATAACCATACAATCAGAAACGGCTGAAGCTCGACAGTGAACTTTTGTTGTGCAATCACTGAAAACAAATATCTGTACTAGTCTTAAAAAAAAAAAATTCACTCCTAAATCAATTACAGTGGCAGGGCCTGCATAATCTATCAGTGACTAACATCTCAGAAAACAGTTGCACAAACAGCCCTGCTGATATAAAAAACAAGCAATACAGCATTACTTACTGCATACCACAAAATCCCTATTGAAGGAGGTGGCCTGCCACAAGCAGGACCACTGCTAAATTGAAGCCCTGCTACATTATGTAGCAAAATAAGACAATGTCATATAGTGCCAGCTATTGTGAGACATTACCTATATACAGCAATCAGTACTGTTGATTTAATGTGGTACTTGGTGTGACAAAACTAAAGCTTATATCCTTTTCAGGTTATGACTGGAATTTCTTTGCAGACATGGTGTCACTATGTGATCAATATGACCAAATGCAGACATTAAGTTTAGTGCATTATTCAATCCTGACTATATCTGCTATTCTGTATGATGAGCTTGTGACACACAACTAATTACAGTAAAGTACAGGGTATGCAACTGACAAATTCCTAAATCATGTCAAAAACAAGGCAAGATTATATGAGATTACATAATATGAGTAAACAATGACAAACCTATCTTGGTTTCTGTGGTTGTGTGTCCCAGTTTCAAGTATGTGACAACAACCTTAAGAAAACTATGGCTAGACTCAAAAAAGTCTGTCAGAGAGAACAATAAGGGCTTGGTATTTGCAGAAAACACATACATACCTCTCTTAACTCGAGTCTCTGGGCAACTGCCTCCAGACATTCCTGTCCAGTGCTCTCCACTGAAAGTGTAAACTCAACAAACTCTCCATTGAGCAGCTGAATCCGAGTGACAAGACAGCTCTTGCTTGAAACTGTATACCTTCGAGTCCTTTTGAGCTTTAAGCCAAATGGCAAGGGCATGTTCTACACTTCTTTGAGAGAGAGGTCTTCACTTAGTTCAGAGAACTTATTCTCCTCGCTGTCTCCGTGAAAACCGTGTGAATGTTACAAGTCATGAGGTTCATCGTCAACAGATCTGAAAAACAAAACAAGCAGCATTTCAAAACATCTCGTAAATACTACAATTCCCAACAATGTCTTGGAAAAGCGGATGGAGACTGAAGCGGTCAGACAATTCCCTATACCTGATCTGTCATCCTGAAACAGATATCAAACTAGACTTATCACGGAGTAAACCTCTTAAAAGATATATTCTAATTTAAGTTACCTAACCTGGCTATCTTTGATTTGCTACCACATGGATTATATTAATGTTACAGGTCCGTTTTTAAATGGGCGGCACTAGATATACCATTAAAAGCAAATCTGTGGACTTGCAGCGGTTTGCAGTAACCTACATGGCCTGCGTAACGTTAATACGCATTGGCTAAATTTATGTTTTGCTAGCCACTTTTTCTAAATGTGATTAACCTAGATTAACCCTGACCCAAACACTGAGTAACCTAATTCAATACGCAGCCAGCTAACGTACAAGCTAAACCCCTGCTTTAATACCTCGAACATGCATACACAACATAACAAAACGGTTACTAGGTGTTTCTTCAGTACTACATTCAAATAAGTTTGTTCCAAATGCTTGACATTTTCAGAAGTAACTTGTTACTTTTCATTGGCAGTTTCAATACCTCCTTCATATTTATTGTTATCCGAAACTAGCATTAAATTAGCCTTAACGCTAGCGTGCTAACTTAGGTTCCAGCAAATAGACGACACCTTTTGAAAGCTGATGTCGCCGGTAAATATTTTGGCAAAAACATAAACGTTACCGTTAGCCACCACATGCTATTCAGTAGTCCAATCAGAATTCAGTCCCGAGGGATTCCGTCCCCAAAGCCTATTAATTACTACGTTTTATTATGTTTATCAAAATTAGAGACAGACTTAATTTGTTTGTATCTATATCAACTTAGCATCCCACGCATCTTGGTCCAATATAGTTCACTGAACTTCCATGCGCCTGTCTCTTCCTGGGATTGAAAGAGCAACAAGTATATATTGTCTACATCCGCGGGTCTATAACTTTAGTATTTTTGATTCAGCACTAAATTAATTCACTGATTGCATCGGAATATATTTCAGCTATTCTATAAATTTACACAAACTACATGGTTAACTATATTTTCTTCAGCAGATGCTAAAATGCGTTATAGTACCTTCGTGGCGGAGGAACACAGGGAGGTTTTCTGAGCCATGAACAGCTGCTTGCTGACCAGTCTGTTTACCTTTCACAAAGACTGACAGCTGGAATTGCAAACACGTAATATTGTACAGTGACTAAAGAGTTGCCTTTTGTAATTGTTTGCAAACCGCCCCAAGTCAAATGTGATAATAATGGCCGCGTACAACCGGTTGGTGCTTAAAGTTTGTAACATGGTCTTCGTAACCAATGCAAGGGTTAGAGTTAGTATACAAGAAGTGTACAAGTAAGTATACAAGAAGAAGAAGAATATAAAATTTATTGAAATCGTAATGTCAGTTTCTGGTGACAGTCTATTCCTATTAGCTACACGTGAGCGGTGTAAGTTAAATCAAACACACTACACGGTTATAAATTTCATTATAACATAACTGTTCCCAGAAATCTGAAAAGCGTAAACTGCAGCTCCAACATTGACTGGATACACTCCGCAATCCATTCAAACAGGGATAGGCAACCACTAATTCTACCCATGTCACATCAGTGCAGTGCTTTGGACTATCCCTTCCAAATATGTAATCATACTGGGGAAATAATTACGAAAATGTTTAGAGCATTACTTTTGAGGAAAAAAACTGCAGCTGTCCCAAAGGAGATATTCATGTTGCTAATATACTGGTCAAACTTGTTTGTTTGCATAACATTTGCACAGTGTTTTTGGAAAATAGATAAAAACATTTAGGGTCTTGTAAAAGCATGGAAAATGCAACCAGCATTTACTCACATTTACAAAATTATAGTACTAGTATAGAAGAAAGGGCCGTCCCTGGTAACTAGTATACTATCATATATTTCAAATGGTACTTTTCTCTCTGGGACAACACTCACTTGGTAACAACACTGAAAAATATTAAATCCCTGAAAACTGCAAAACTCAGAAGTCATCATCACTGACAGAAGCAAATACATTTGTATGTCGCTCACTGGCAGTGTCCACATTGTTACATTCTGTGTTGTTGGACACATGAAGTGATGCTGACAAACTTCTTCCCAGATCCTCAAGCTCTTTAGATTGTCCACTATAACTGACCTCAGCTTGGTCTTGATGAAATCCTTCATCAGTGGTTATAGTGGCGTATTCATGGTTTTCATTGCTGATTTCTTTATTTGTCGCACTTATGCTTATTTGATTTTGATGGAGGACATCTTCACCAATTCCTGTATTACTCGTAACTTGCTCACTCAGTCGAGGAGAGCCAGTGGACTTCTCCTGAATGTTATCTTCCTCATCCTTTTCATTATTTTTTGTTAGCAAAGCAGTCCTTTTAGGAGAACCTAAGGGTGTAAACACTGATAAGGCATCAGTGTAATCAGGTGAATCGCAGGATTTAATCAGTGACACGTAAGGGAAAAGGTCATTGTCTTCTTTGGTCTTCATTTGTTTCCACCCTGAGTCCAGATGTGGTAGAAGTGTATCAAGCAAGTCATTCTCCTTTTTTTCAAGGTCTGTACTGAAAGTGGATATGTTGATTGGCTCCTCAAAAGCTTTACAGAGCACTTCCAGAAGGTGGCGCATTTTACCCTAAATACAACCAATACAATAGATGCATGAGAGAAAGTTCAAGAGTCCTCAATTTTTGCTCAAAATAGTTGGCATTATGTATTAATTTATATACTCACCTCATCAAGCAGATGCAGATTCATGTCAATATGGCGCTCTATAACCCGGTGCAGAACCCTTACAGAGCAAATAACAAGTCATTACTCAGGAGGTAATAGCAGGCATTAGCCACTATTACTCAATTACGAGACACCTATATCTATCATGTATCATCCAGGGTGCTAATACAAGTCATAAAAACCTGTCAAACCTGTCAGAGATGTGGTCCCTGGATAAGATATCCTCTGTTACAGCAGAAATAAATTCGAGGTACATTAATTCTTCTTCCCTGTTGAGGAATAAATGAGAATAATTCATTTAATAAATCATTTTAAACCACACTATATTGCCACATATGACAATCTTTTTCCAATATAAAAAAACATATTTAAACCCTATTAAAGAAACTTACTCTGCAGATTCAGTCTTCATAACTGGAAATTTTCCATGCTCTGGTGAAACCCTAGCAGATGAAATTTAAAGTCTTTTAGAATTTTACACAGAAAATACACAAGGTATAACATTACAGATAAAATATCAGACAACATACATACAACAACATACATTTCCACTTCACAATTTTACCTGGATGGGGAGTCAAAGAAAAAGTGGTCTCTGCTCTTGTTTGCTCGACTTTGTTGTCTAGATGCTGAGCAGTGTGTGTCATTGAACTCTTTTTCCGACCAATTATGCCCCGTATTAAATCCCTATAAAACAAAAGGGTCTGTAAAACTGGAAGGGATATTCAATGCTATCAAAGCTGTTTCATTATCAAATACATACTGAAACTTGAAGATAAGACAACATAAACATTTACAAAAGAGACCTGGAGTTCTACATTTTATTTGTGTGTATGAGGGTGTGTAGTGTGGGTGTATTCAACTCTTTGCAGTCTGGTATTCAGTATATATTAAAGAAAAATAAAATTAAATAAAGTAAATTAATAAATTAGGGGATAGAGGAACAAGAAGAAAAAAAATGAGAGGAAGAAAAATAAATTACAAAGAGCAAACCAAGGTGTGGTGGGGTTAAATCAGCAGATAAATAATAAATACTAGGAGTGTACTGGTGATGTTTCCACCCTGAACCACCAGCAGCGGAACAAGACAAGACTGGGGAGCTCCAGAGCAGCTCAGCAGGGTGAGGTCGGCCAGGACAGCAGCACAGCAGCACCCTTGTTTTATGCCTTTACTTTGTTTTATTGTTTATCATGATTTATTTCGATTTTTGATTGTTGAAACTGAAACAGCCCAGGGTTGCAACCTGACCTTGACAGAACCGTCACTTTCATTTAATTATTTATGGTTTAAAAGGGACAACACATGACTGACCTTGAGCCACAAATGGACTAAGCTGGCAGCTTGTAAATACTGCTTTGATGGGCATAAGTCATGGATTAAAAAATATATTTACAATAAATTTAATTCTCTAAATTACCTGAGATGGCTCATCAAAATCCTTGGTTGTTGTGCTGCATAAAAAAGACAGATATTATAAGACACACATGCCGCATATGCTGAATGAACTGTTGCCATCCACTGCTATCCTTTGAGACTCAATAAGACATTAGGTATGTACCTTCCATGATCCGTCTCGTGGCGCATCAGTCTTGAGTTGGTACAGTCCTGAGTAGGTTTCTTTTGTGGTGCTCTGTAGTAGCGATATTTTGACAGGTATGAACTCTTATCTGATTTCAGGGTCTTAGGGGTGAAAGGTTTGTCTTGGGTAAAGTGCTGGCAGTGCTTCTGGAGCAAGTCTCCACCGTATGTCTTCTGGACAGGGTCCTGGAAAGTCTTGTAGCAATTTTGATCTCCTGATGCTTCCAGTGAACACTCTGACTCCTTTCTGTGCAAAGCTGCCTGTGGGTTCCTGAACTGTATTTCTGATGCTGGGTGAGTACGATGAGACTGGTTCTGTGGACTGACTTTACATGATGGATAAACTATCTCCTTAGCATGAAAGGACGTGTTGAACCTTTGACTGGAGACCACAGAACTTCCTGAGCAGAGGTAGGGGCTGTCATCGTACTGAACAGACAATCTACTCTAAAGAGCAAACATACTGAATCAGACATACTGAAAATGTTTGGATGACAAATAATGTGGGCTTTGAATTTGAAGCTTTACATCATTTTGTAATAGTGCAGTTTTCTATGTCATGCAAGGTCGCACATGCTGTATTTTTTAGTTAATATGACACAAAGTAATGAGGAAAAACACATTAGTGACTTTGCCTTGACTTCTTACCTGGGCTGAGGAGCAGGAGGCTCTGGTATTTCTTTGTGAGAGAGAGTGAGCTGATTGAGGACGACCCCCTTTCCCCAAGCGATCCTGCCTGATCTGGTCATTGTCTGTAAACAGATATGAAATAGTGAAGAGGTGCAGTTGACAGTCTACACTACACTTTCTAAAAGATACAGATGTTTTTTGATAGTCTAACAATGGTATATACTGTACATACTGATATATGGTATGTCCCGTGAGCTATTCTGAAAAAATGCTGTAATTTGCTGTAAGTGTTTTGAATAAAATTTATCATTTAATATTGACCACTTGACTACTTACACTTTACACTATGTATCAAGCTTTGGGGTACTGAGGCATCAATGGCAGCTGTGGAAAAACACAAAAATGTAACAACAACACCAGAAAGATTAATTTAATTATTATGCAACAGAGATAACATGGTTTTCCACACACATTATAAGCATATTCCTGTCGTGTGACTCACCTTTAGCTGAGTAAACCTTTTTGTAATGAGACACCATGTGGTCCTTAATTATGGATTGTGCCAGCTTGCCAGAGGAGCGAGGGCAGAAAGCTAAAAACACAGGACAGAGAAATAAATACAGTACACTATAACATTAAGCGTTTATCTTACAAATGGCAAATACTCACTTGACCTATTTCTCAGGATAATATTAGAGCACACTAATACTTACGGCTACTTTTCCGAGACTGTCCTCTCATATCAGGCCTGCCCCCCAGTCCTGATGATACACTCCCTAAAAAGAACATAAAAGGATCTGAACTTGTTGAAACCATCTAAACAATTTGTAGACTGAGAGCTTATCAGTGACAGGTTTACAATAAAACATCACAAAAGACTTTTTAAAACATCCCTTTAGATCATGTGAGTTGGGAAACATGTTTACAGCACTTATGGACTAAACAAACAACTATTTTTTTACAGCACTTATTGACTAAACAAACACAACTATCTTAAAAAAGGTTACATTATTTTTTTAATTAATTTTTAATATTATGTTATTGCTTGATAATTAAAATAATCGAGCAGTTGGTGTATTTATGTAATTAGTTAGTTAGTTAGTTAGTGTACATCTGTGTTCTGAGCTCTTTGACATGATAAACAGATAAAATATCGCCATGAATTTAACAAAGTAATCTAATCTGGTTACATGGCGTTAACAGAAGCATCGTATTACAAGCTAATTTACTCTTTTGGTTTTCAACTGTAAGTTTCAAGAACGAACAATGTCGAAGACAGGCCCCATTAGTGAGCGTGTCAGTATGAGATTATCTTTAGTTAGTAGCACTATTTGAATTTCCTTCCTTGTTGTGCGATCAACTAGCCAAATAGCTAGCTAACTAATACTAATAGTATTAGCATACCGATTCTCGAGTTCATGATAATGCCACACTCAGCGTATCCCATTTTCCTTCGAAATATTCCGAAGCAGCGACGGCAGAGCTTGGATACATCCCGAAACTACAGTGTACTTAATGGTAAGCATTTTAATATAATCAAGTAACGCAAACGAAGCTGCTGCAACCATCTAATACAAGCTTATAAGCAGATGATGGTCGATGCAACGGTTCCCCGTAGGCTGGTTGCTATGATTGCCTTCGTCATCACGCTCATGCGTAAGGAAGAACGCTACAAACCATCCGCTTTCATAAAAGACACCTGTCAATTGACTAAGAAAAGTGAATTGAAATAACAACACGACAAAAAAAATGATCGGGAATCCAATATAATCCAACAGATTTATAGAAATGATTTGTAATACAATATGATTTTATTTACCTTTATTCTAAATTGCCAAATGTAGCATTTTTGTTAATCAGCAGTTTATTTGTGACAGTAATGTATACAGCACATATACTAAAGACAAAAAAAAGAAAAAGTAGGCTAGACCAGGGTTTTTCAACTAGTGGTCCGCAGCCTCCTGGTGGTCCACGAAGCTATTGCATCTGGTCGCTGATCATGCATTCAGTAATGTAGTTTCATTGTAGGAATTTTTTTAAGTCGTTTCCATGTATTACTTATTGTTTGTGAATAATCTAAACTGAAGCAACTAAATGGAATTCAGACATCATTAATGTTGTTATTTACAGGTGCTCAAAATGTTCTTTGTGGAAAAATGCCTATATTGTGCTGTAGATATCTGTGTGGCCTGCAAAGTAGCTATAATCTAAGCCAAGGTTGCAGTGCTTAAAATTGCATTCTGTGGTTGTCCAAATGACTATTAAGGCTACAAGACTGTGACTCAAGTTCTGTACATCCCTGCTCCCCAGAATTCTAAATCCTGACTAGATGCATGAAGTTTATGAATAACCATGAGATAGGTGGTAGCCTATCCAGTCTATTACAGCAGCATGACTTGCCTGGTGTGCTATTACTATGTAAACTACAACCATTAGTGGTCTCGTTTACTGTAGGGTGGCAGAGTGACTAAGTGATAGGATAAGGATAATCACCTTTTTTTGGCCAAGTATGTTACACACAAGGAACTTGTTTTCAACACAGAACTGAGGCAGCCATCTGCGATGCCAACTGAACCAGCAGATCTAACTATCAGTGTCTTGCCCAAGGACACTTCAACATATGGACTGCAGGCACTGAGATTCGAACCTACAATCTTCCGGTTGGGAGACGACTGCTCTACCCACCAAACCGATCAATTTGGAAAAACAGAGCACTAGGAATGAAACATCTGATTAAACTCTGTGCTGAGAACATCCCACTATCAGCATATTATTTATTCCACCATGTTCCCTGTTTTGTTTCGCAGGCCATTTAGCCCCTTATGTCATTTACTAACTAAAGATAGTGTGATAGACCGTTTTCTCAACAGTGTCATGTCATTAGCCTTAAACACAAACCAGCTTATGGTTTTTAAGTAGTCATTTGGACAATTTTTCTTTGATTTTAATATCAGTTCAAAAGAGACAATGGAGTAAGTTATCTAATAGTGTCTTAATATATCATGCTTCCCCATAAAACGTTATGACAGTAGACAATTTATCTGTCTTACTGTTTTCTGATGTAAGTAAAGACATTTAAACCCAGTAGAGTTATTTAAAACAGAGCTATATTATCAACTTTGATAAGCTGAGAGTCTCTCCAGATGCAAATCAAACTCTTCAATTAGTCATATCAATTTACATAAAAATTATGTGGCCACAAAATTACAGCCTTTAAAATGTATTTGGTTCCCAAGCCGTTTCTGTCATTGTGTCACTTAATCAGTTTGACCTTTGTCTTTGTATTGTTTTTCTTTTCTCTTTCTACTGAATTCAGTTTTTGTTAAATCATGGATTTTGATGTGAATATTCATACCTATAAATATGATTTGTTATACACTTTTAATTGGCTAATTTTGAGAGCAACAAAAGGAAATGATGTTCAACTGTTAAGTATTTTTTCCAAATTATTATTAGTTTGCAGGGCTTTGCATATTACTTAATATTTCCTGAAACAATACTGTGAAATAATACATTGCCTCCCATCATCTCATTTAGGTTATCTTTCATTAATAATGTGCTGTCTCCCATACATGCGAATGATGTAATGGATTAAGTGTGCTACCGATTTTGCGTAGGCTACATATCTGACTTGACGCCCTGCGCCATGTGCTCAGTCGCCCGTTGCCAAACGATGAGGGGATAATCCTGTTTTTTGAGCAAAAAACACAAGAGTGAGTATTCATTTACGGATTAGACAAATTAGTTTGACTGTGATTTATGCAAAGCTCGATGCAAATTCCTTTAGGTAATTATAGTAAAGGCAGGTGAGGTACTGCAATTTGGAAATGAGGGAGGAGAGCATCCTAACCCGTTGTTCTAGCTGCCTGTTAATACACGTGCGTAAAGTTGCTTGCTTCCACACACTTCGGCTGTGGTTTCTTGAACGGACCACCGGTGTGTGTATGTGTGTTTGATAGTGAGATGGGATGTGGTCTGATGCTTTGAGCGGTGCGACAGCTCAGTGAAAGGTCTCACACGTATCTCAGTCTGTGAGACGAGCACCACGCGTCCAAGGGAGGTGGTGAAAAAAGGAGGGTGGGCAGCAGAAGCAAACAATGCGGTTTCACGATGCTTTTATCCTTCTGCACAACTGACACTCACATCTGCGAAAAGATGCTGTGCCGAAGATGCAGATGAATTCCTCATGATGTGGCTGGTTTCCTGCATTTTTTTTTTTTTTTTTTTTCATTTTTACAATCGCATTGAACATCTTGCCTTTTGGTCGTGAACAAAAATAGAGATGAAATTTCCAATAGAAAACCCAAGGAAACAAGTTAACTGGGACCCGGAACAAGGTTGGTAAAACCCAGCTATTTAAAAAATTGTGTAATAACTTCCTACATAGCATTTGACAGTATCTTACACTCCTAATCTCAGCAACATCTCATGGACATACCATTTATTACGCGAGGCTACACTATTCACCAGCTTGAACCACTTCTTGTTCATGATTTTATACATTCGTTTAGAATTTTCCCATTTCTCTATGTTTCTGTGATGCAAAAGGAGTCTTCGCACTAGACAAAGGCTATGGGTATTTCTTTATTCTCCATCCTTGGTGTGCTCCGCTGTAAGATGCAGTGCTGCTGGGAACAGCAGAGCTTCAGCCCCAACAGCAGAATCAAGCAGCGATGAAAACGGAAACGCCATCGAAATAAACGCTTAAGCTGTGAAGTTACCAAAAAAAAAAATACTTGAGACTCGATGCACGAAATTGTCTGCATGAAGCACTTCTTTCCAGCTAAATCAACCAGACGTGACTTGTTTTCAGAAACATGGGTGGTGACGAACGATAAATTATCATCTTACCAGAAACAACGCTCCTTAGTTCCACCTGATGCGACCATATTTATCCTAAATGTGGTTTTCAAAAAGGCAACTTCGGAAAATGTTTTATTTTGAAATGTGTTTTTACCGTAGGTTCTTAGCCTTCCTTGTGTTATTCAGGCTGACTTGACACTTGATGTTGAGGCTCAGCTGGCGAGGTACACGCCTGCAACCTGTCTAGTGCCATAAGGAATAACTTGGCTAAGAGCCTAACTGATCTATCCCAAAACTGACCTTCATGCATAAGCTAATACTTAGTTTTGAATTTTCTTCATCAGTGGGTACATGATTATTTCACAACCCCATGTCACCCTATAATATGCAGCTGAAATGTTGATAAACAGAATATTTCAAATCTGAAAACCACAAATTTGCCCCTGCACTAAGCTGTGTGGAAAATGACAGATGCGACATTTCATTGCCACCTATAAAATCTTCATCATCAGCCAGATTTTTTCCATTCTTTCCATGGCTCTTTCATGGACCTGCCCTGAGTCCCCTGTTAACATTTCCTCTGCTTCAACCAGGCATGTTGGAAGCAGAGATGGGCTGAGAGCATCAGATGGTATCAAATACAAACCACTGCTTTCCACTCAGGCCTTATTTAATTTGCAAAAATCAATATGAAGCAGCTTCAGATGTTTAAAAAAGGAGTTCAGGTTAATGCCACACAGGCTCAGAAAATTGAAACACAAAGCAATTTATCTTCCTCACAGCTTTGGTTTTGCCTATATGGTTCAGAATGTATTCTTATCTATCTATACTGTACATAGTGAGGTTCACCTCTCAGTCTTAATTTTTTAATTTATTTCACTCTTTTTTGTTTATTTCACTCTGCTGTTATTGATTCATTCATGATACAAGAACTAATCAAAGAGATTCATAGCTTGTGGACCGAAGAGTGAGACATTTCCTGGATGTCCTTGACTCATCAGGGTGGGGTGTTTCTCTGTGTGTGTGTGCATTTTGCTTAGAATATGCCATTAATGAAACAAAAGAGTGCCACCCAGAAGGAATAAGTCTCTAATTTCTACCTTCCAGAGTTGCATCATTGTAGACAACAGACCCCGCCCATGTCTCTGAGGCACTCCCAATTCTCCAGTCTGAGAGAGGTGGGGCCGTGGGGGTGAAGACCAGAGCGCTCATATACATTAAAGGAATCCTTATGTGGCTGCATCCTAGGTGCTGTTCACCTCATGATTGACCTGCTTGAGCAGACATGCATTTATTATGAAACCTATCTAGAAGCTGATGGCTGAAAGTGGTACTTACCCCTCTCTTATAGTCTATTAGAAAAATCGAATCCTGCTTCCTAAAGAGGGTAACTAAATTTTCACCTCCACCTAGCAATACTGTAAGGGCTTAGCTGCAAGTGGTGTGTCTTTTAAATATTTAAATGCTTTTCTTCTTTTGCCTCATTGAGTATATGCATGCTGTACATCCATGGTTACAGTTTAATTAATACACATAATTAAAGGTGTTTTCCCCAGGTTTTCCATTCATTGCATTGCATTAAATCAGTGATGAAGTTTTCTGCAGTAGTAATTAAGGCAGTGGCTGTGGATTTCTGAGGTTGATTTTGGGGAACTAAGAGTTTTTATGTGTGAAACCAAAATAAATTGGATGGAATGATGCTGAGGAAATGGAGAGTTTTATTCCAGTTTGGCTTTAGCGCAGTTTTAAGCCATTCATTTTTGCTGATGACACTGATTGTCAGCTTTGCAAAGCCCAAAGACCAAGAAATTGCATTCTAATGTGTCATATGTCATAGGATTTCATATTTATATCTACATTACGTTGTTGTTACTTTATTTATTAAGACAGCTAAAGAAAACTTAAAGCTGTGAGACAATATTGTAATTAAATTTATTCCATGTATTAATTTTGATTTTTTCATTACTATAACAGATTATAGGTTATCACAGACCAGAACAAAGGATATATATGCATATCAGCACTGGAAATGACCAAAATACCCCACATAATAACCTCAAACTCACTATATAAAGCCTTAAAGATTACCTACAACCCAACATCTCACAAGAATCTTCTTCATATGTAGCTTGTCATGCATTTTCCATATTCAGTTTGCAACAGATTCAGGACTTTGAGCCAATTATCAGGACAGTCTGCCAAGGTCTAGAATCATTTTCGCAAGATAATTTTATCCTGTCTGTGTCTTGATATCTTCCAGTACAAAGATAGCA